CGGGTTGGGTTGGGTTGACCATTGCTCCGTTATAATATGAACCCAACCCAACCCATTATGTTCTATTAACAACCCTATATAACATCATTTTTATACTTTTATTAGCTTTACTGCTCCACTATTTATATTTATCGCAAAACTAAAGCACTATGTTGTACCTTTTACAAATAGGGATAGCAGAGCTAGTGTCAAGACACATATCGATAACCTGGTTTGAATAATCAACTTAAGATATGTACATACTCTTTGTTCTCGTGCATATGTTATCTTTTTCCTAATCTATTCTTCGGTGAAATAACGAAAAGTGATAAAAGGAAAGTATAGTGGACTTTTTACCTATAATCAAGCAAGTGAACCATGGAGCATATACATATTCTTTGTTATCGTGCATATATCGAGCTCTTTTACCTATAAGCTGAGATACTAAAAAAGGAAATAACGAAAAGTGTTAAAAGGGTAGTATAGTAATATTGTTAGGGATTCAGTTACAAATATCACTTCTACACAACAAAACTAATATTCTTCTTATTATAAATCTACACGTAAAATGTCTACTGAATTATATAACAAGATTTATGAATTTTTAACAACTGCCGAAGATAAAAAAATAAATGCAATATTGGTTGTGTATCTCGGAATGAAAGAAGATCGATGGATCGAACAGAATGAATTGAAAGAAATTGTAGAACAGGCTGTAAATTCAGCTAGTAATGTATTTATAGATGGGACCCCATGCCAATTACAAATTTTCCGGATCTTACCTCAGGTTAATTTATATAGATTGAGTCATATTTTTAATATTTTATTATATGATGATATTGTGTGATTTCATTCATAATATGAATGCCGAATAAATAAATTACAAGTTAGTTTGTTGACATATATTCACTCATTCTATTTAGCTCACTTGTCGATAGACACTTACTCATAATGGAGGAATGTTTAAACTATAGTCTGTTACGCAGGATATAGCATTCTATTAACCTGTTATGAGAAAAATCTATTGCCATGTCGAGAGAATGTTTAAGATATAAGTTATTATGTAGTTAATTAATATCACACAAAGTTTTATCCACGTGATGGCCACACAAAGATATAAACTTTGCACATGCACTAATAATTTTGCGTTATTTTAATGATGAAAATTTTTATATTCCTGAAATCTAACGTACTATATATTTTATTAGTTTAATAATGCCTTTGAAGGTGTTAATAATTTGTATAATATGGGAGCGATCAAAACGGATAAAGAAGTACCTTTTGGCTCAGATCAGATCGAGAATAATATAGATGTGTTAAAGGATAAACTTAGAAAAGAATCCACATCCCTTTACCAACATTTATATTCGGCTGTAGATAATATATCCATTTACGAATTAACTTGGAAAAACCCTTTAGCAAGTCAAGTTATAAGTGATAAGTCAGAAATTGTAGAACAATTACCAATGAATTTAAAAAAGGCATTTAAGGTATACTTGTAAACAAAAGTCTTATCTTTAACTTTGATAATGAAGTTGGTATCTCTAATACATATTTAATAATATTAGAAACCGGTTCGTCAGATGAAACCTATTCTTATGCCGAAGATTAAAGAAATGTGTGAGAAATTTGTAGCAAGTTTTGTTGATCGCAATTATCAGAATATAGTACCAGAAAAATTAATCCATAATGGATTTTGGAAAGAATCGGAAGAGAAAATGTCAGATATTATAAAGGAAGTTTTTGTTCTTTTAGAAGATATTTGGATTAATCCTGCATTCAATTCTGATCTTGCAAAATCGTTAAATGAAGGGACCTACCAATCAACAGTTATTTTTTTGTCAATTCGGGCAATATTAAAAAATTTACCTTTTAGGTTATCTTCATTTATTAGCACATCAGAACGACAAAGTATTGCTAGTGCTGATAGAAAAGGTGAAGGGCATATGGGAAGGCGACCTGATATAATGTATGTGATAAAATATCTCGATGTCTTCTTTGAGATTATGTATCTTGAATGTTCTCGACTACATTGCACTCAACAAAAAAAAATGGATGACGAGATAAAACTGTGGCGTGAGTGTAATGATGGTATGTATTATGTTCGCAAAGCTCTTAAACCAGAAAAAGAACAATTTGGAATAATTGGGGTACAGGTAGCGGGAAATATGTTACATTTAAATGTTCTTGTTAGGGATAACACTAATATCCATAGATATTATCATATACAATCGGCCGAGATCCCTGTACAAGTATCAGGTGCAAACATTGTAACTAACTTTATAGAAACTCTATTACTTTTACGTAATATATTAATCACAAATATATCCCTGTTATGCCATGGTTCTATATCCCAATCTCAAAGATTAGTGGAAGGGAGCACAACAGTTACTACACCACGAGATGATTATCCATAGATTTTTCTTCGTATATCATGTATTTTTATCCTGTATTATTACCGCATATCAATATTTTATTAATAAAGATTTTCATCAGTGTGATTTCGTTGTATATATGATATATTGATATTTCTTGGCAAAAGTGATCGGCGTTACAATTTGTAACGCGGAATAATTCAGACTTTTGAACATATCCGCATCTTGTATAAAACAATGGCAAAATAAAAAATATTTATGCATATTTCTCAGTAATGATCCATCACTCAAACAATTTCTATTAATCCTTGAGATGACTAAGGAATGTGTAAATCTATTATTAGTATTGTAAAGAATATGTAGAACATGCGCAACCCAACATTTTTTTTTATACATATATATTACATCTCTCCCGTCTTAAACATCATTTATGGAATTGTATGAAATTTCCTTCGTCGATATTTATAATAAAACTTATTCGATTTTAGAATTCTTTGAGGGCGAGGCTTTAACTGGTGATTCTGTTGTATTGATATGAGGTTGAACATAATTAGGGGTTATCTTTCTTATTTTCAAACAATAATCCATGATTCGACTCTGTTATATTCCAAAGGTGAAGTTATGAGTATATAAAACAAATACATTAAATACGTTAAACTAGCAGTGTCAAAGTCCAATACCTTGAACATATAAACTTTCTCAATAATTTCTTCCATTGTGTATAATTGATCTTTGGAATTCGGAATACAAAATTCTGTTAATTTATCTACAATATAGAGACCTCCACTTGTAATGTGCATAATGTAAATGGTGAAAATTCGCTCTAAAGTTGATTAAAATATAGGTATATTTCTAGAAACTTTTAGTAATATAATATCAAACACTAAATTCATATTGCTTACGATAAACGATTATCCCATACGATTCTAGACAAGTGAGTAGATCGTCAGTAGCACCACGTTGGATATGATGTTGTCGTTGATAGAACAGCGAGATCTGCATTGCTATCGGATAATGTCGTATAAGATAAAATTATGACAATAGATCATTAACGGCGTGGTAACCCATTTACCTTTTAATACTTTATCAAGATCACCATTTAACTTCTTAATATCAACAATAAGAGCATTGCCAATCACTTCTAGAAAACCTATTTCAAAAGTCGTTGCATTTATATTTACTTCGAAAATACCATCTTGGTGGCACCCAATACTAACACGTTGCATATACTGTCGAGTTTCAACTCTTTGAATTTTATTTAATATATTTTCGATCTCTCCACTGTAAATAAAGTTGATAGATATATCCGTTAAATACTAATAAAATTCTAATAAATGATGATATAAAATGCAAATCTCACGTCTTTACTCGAATAATATCCATTACATCATCGAATAATTTCGCAATTATAGGGTTGATAAAATTTTCTCTATATGATAGTTCTGTTTGTTTATAGTCCAATAGCACATTAATAGGCGCTTTAAATATAAATAAACTAAAAAAATAAAACAATATTAGAATGTATCACATCATTAATTTTGATCTATTATTACTTACAATCGCTTATATATTTCCTGCACCCATAATAAGTCGTGATGTTCTTTATAATTAATCGTTCCTGTATATGGTCTCTCGGTAACTTCATCAATTGCAAGGTCCAAAGGGAAATCATCAAATAAAGATTTAGGCTCTAAGTTTTTTTGATACTTTTTCACGAGAGGTTTTATAACTTGATTCCATTTATCCTGTCGAATGGTCTTAAAATCTTCTTTTAATGGCTCTAACTAAGGAGAGTAAGTAAGAATATCAGAATTTTTCGAATTTAAACTTGAAATATCAGGGTACAATCAGAAAACACGTACTGAATCCCAAATTTTTTTCAATAACTGTTTATCAGCTTTTGTTAAAAATTTTTGTACAGGGCTTGAAGCATTTCTGTCAGATAAATTGATTATCTTATACTGAAAGAGACGATAATCTGATTTTTTTAATTTTGTAATTATTTTATGAATCTCCTCTGTTGCATTCTGTGAAGTAGAACATAGATCAGATAAAGTACACCGTAATGTTAATGTAGTACAAATAAACGTTGTTACCTCTTGAGAAAACTGAATGCCATTGATGTAAATGACTTCATTAACATTATAATAATTAGTAACATTGTCTTCGCAAAATCGTCCATCATACAAATTTTCGTCATCATTCTGTTTTGATTTGTCCATATGTTATGCATTCACCAAAGAAGTTTATATATGTTATACATTTACCAAAGATGTTTATAAAGACATTATTGCAGCCTAAATGTTCACGAATATATTACCTTCGAATCCAAGGGGACCTAATACCTGACGGATGTATCTGATGTTCGGGAGTTCTTGGTTGTTGTTCTTGCTGAGGGACATCACGAACAGAGAAATAGTCATCAATTCTCGTCCGCTTTTGGACTTTATCATCGTCCTAAGGATTAAAATTGTAGTGAGTTGAAATAATATTGGCTCTAATTAGTATTCTGTAAAGTCAGATCGATCAGACTGGGATTGCTCTATGATCTTTCGGGTCAGATTACCACGGATCGGATCACACTAATTTTGATTCTCACAACTCATGTCTAAAAATGCTCACCTGTATCTCTTCCCGCTCTCTTTTTGGTCCAGCAGTGAACGTTCCACCGGCTATGGTACCGTTGACAGTTCCGTGTATAGATCCATGTATGGATCCATATTCAAAAAAAGTCGGCTGATTAAGGTGAACTTGCTTACGCGCACGCTCGTTCTCCCACTTCCTTGCTAGTTCGCGATCAGGACGAGGCTCCTAATGATTTGGATAATTAGTAATATTCTCGACTAATTCCCTATCCCATCGGAACATCAGCCAAACTCAAAGATTGCCTGTGTCCCAATGGGTCCAGCATTGGCTCGACTCGAAGACTTGAAACATCAGGCAAACTCGAAGATCACCTGTGCCCCAATGCTGGTCTTGTGGCTCGACTCGAAGACTTGAATGATAGAAGAACTCGAAGATCATCTACCACGCCACTTATTTTTAATAAAAACCTAATAAACCTAGTACTTGCCTTCTTGTATCTATCAAGGAGAAGCTGTGCTTTTTCATGCTTTCGATCTGTTTCTATCTTGACGAGCTCTTCAAGAGATGAAAGGTAACACTCTATCATTTGTTGAAACGAGTCCAGATGGCATTCATTAAGATATCCTAGAATATTCCATTCTGCCGATTTTTGGTTGAAATAATCATGTATCTGCGAAAAAGTTATCAGTGTTAAATCCGCAAAAAATTGAAAAGTTTATCCGCATTCAACTTTCGTACCATCTTGGATGTTTTTATTGCGGTTGAGTGCTAGGAAAAGTAACATAGCTGAGACGCGCTACGTAAACAAAAATTTATATCCGAACGTTTTTCATGTCTAATTTCTATAAAGGGATAGATCACAAGGTTAAACCTCGATATGGAAAAGGAGAAGCGGGAAGAAGTAAATATATATTTATAGATTGGATATGCCTCGTGACCTTGCATACATGCAGGTATCATTTATTGTCATACATATCATGTATTTTATGTATTTTTTATTATATCAATAAAGCTTGCTCTGGTGGTTGATTTCGTATAATTAATCGTGTTTAGTTTTGCATGTATATTTCGGGATTTATTTTTCGATATATTTGCCAACGTATATAATCTCATATATCTCTGATCGTTCCCTTGGGGAACGGTTTTGTATCATATGCCTTATTATATGAATGAGTTATATTAATAAACAAGCTTTTGAATAATCCGCATTTTATATAAAAAATGGCAAACTCGCAATCCAAAATTGTTTTGCTTGAAGAACAGAATTCCAAGCTTGTGGCCGAGATTACTGAACTTAAAAGGGAGAAGGCTGAATTCTTAGCTAAGGAAGCAGGGTTTATGGCTAGAATAATGGAATTAGAACAAATTGCTGAAAAAGCGAAATTAAGAGATACCGAGCTCAATACTAGAATCATGGAACTAGAACGGTCAAGTGAAAAACGATTTGCAAAATTGGAACAGAATCAAAACAATACCGTAGTTAAGTTAGAAAATGATGATAGTTCTTCTGAGAAAGATATTAATGTACCTGATTCTGTAATAAACAAGTACATCGACCATGTCAGCTCTGCCGATACTAACGCCAGATCGTTAGAGGATGATACTCCCGCATCTGATATAACTGATAACGCTTCAAATTCTGATGTATATCTGGAACCTTCGTCTCAGATGGAGGTAGGCTCACACCAATATTCTGCATTACCTATACATACGGAGCTAAAATCGTTGGAAGAAAAGGAAGAAGATGAATTCCTGGATTCAACGTATAAGGAACAGGTTAGTAAAGAGATAATTCAGAGCATAAGGGAAAAGAAATTTCGAGATCAAAACTTATCTTCGGATAACTCGTCAAAACCATCCAATTCATCACGTGATATAAAAACCGTTCCCTCGGGGAACGATCAAGTTTCAAATTCATCATGTGAAACAAAAACCATTTGTTCGGGAAATGATCAAACTGAAATATCTGAATTGGAGCAAGATGATGGGACCGATAAAAATCAAATTGTAGAGCAGGGCTTAATAGAAGAATTGGGTATATCTACTGAGAAGCAAGGCCTCATGATCCTTGGATCACCCTTTGGGCCTGATTCTGCAATAGATAATACTAGCTCTACTGAAATTAATACATCAGAGAATAAATGTTCAGCTCAACATCTATCTTATTTATTTAAAACAGCAATCAAATCTCGTCAAGAAGAAATCATAAACTGGTATTATTATTCTCTTGAATTCGAAAACAAGATTTATACTATTACAGCTGATGGTAAGATCAAAGACAAAACAGCAAGAACGATGATTTATAAAGAAATGAAACTGTTTCTTCCTAATATCACTCAAGATAACTTGCGCAAAAAATCTCTTAGAGCTAGAAAACTTCTTACACTATTTGGGGAGAATGGAGTTGGAATTGATAAAATTAAGCTAACCACATATAGTGCAAATGAGATTTCAAAATTGACTAACACACAAATTCAGAATATTATAGATCAGGTGAAATCAAAAACTGTTCCCTTAGGGAACGATCAGACTAATCCATCCGAGGTAAGTGAATCTACTACAACTTTGATTCATTCTTCAGATCCAGACGATTTGTTACAAACCTCGGTAAGTACACCGATCATATCTCAACCCAAGAAGGATTTATTAAAAGTTGAGGAAGGTTCATTTCCTGAGAAGGTATCACCGGAAAAATTATCAAAAACAATTTCAGATGAATCAACCGAAGTAAATGTATCATCTAATCTAATTCATGACCGTGCTTACTTTCGTAATAAGATATTGTTGTGATATTCTGATCTATATAAAACATTTATTACTGAAAAATTTGATTACTATGATATTATTGAGGGATCATTATGCCCA